TAATCTTTAGGGCAGTTTTTTACAACCTGTTATCCCAATCAAGATGCCAATTAACACCTACCCTACAGTAAAATAAATGAGATAGGCACCACATCTCCTATGGATGTAGAATAGCCAACTCTTCCCAACAATTTATCCTATACCTATACAATGCTGGTTCAGTTATCTCCTGCTCAGCAGTGCCACTTCAACCCCGAATCTCTCTCCTCCCTTATTTCTCCAAGATAACTACTGGTGCTGCCTGTGCCAATGATACAAACACCCTTACTCACTTAATTCTCTGGGATATGATGAAAGAAATTTAACTGGTGTTTAGAAAACAAGTATACCAAAGATTTCTCCAGAAATCCTACCAGAGAAAGATATCAGAAATTTCTCATTTTACAGAAGAGAAAACTAAGGCTGACAACAATAAATAACTTATCCAACAACACTCAGTTAAACCTAGGTCTATCTGATGTCAAAGTCCAAGCTCTTAAAGCACTTTACAATACCATCTCTCAATATAAAAATTATACCTCTAAGTTTTATTTCTTTATGAAATTCAAAGAATAGCCATCCATCTCCAGCAAAGTACCTTTAATAATTAACTCAGAATTGTCACTGCCTTTATATCCTCGAAACTGGGTGGACTACATTTTAAGAAACAGGGCCATGTATTAAAATCACCCAGGACAACGAAAGCCTTCAATTAAACAATGTCCATTTACACAGTAAAAAGATTTCTAAATATAATACCACAGGCAAATACTGTAATATTTATTTTATCCAATAGTACTATGTTGCATAACAATATTAAAACAGCTACTACTTATTGACTGCTTACTTTGTGTCAGATATGTTACATACATCATCTTATGTAGAGGGTATTTTACATCCTTATTTTACATATGAGGAAACAGAGGGTCAAAAGACTTGCTTAACACAGTTGGCTACATAGTAGAGCTGGCATATAAATCAACTCTAAACCAGGCTCTTTTTATTACAGTAGGAGAAAATGTTTCCAAATACTCCATAAAGACCTATTGGGGGAGGGGGAACATGCAAGCCTTTCTGTTTCTCCCATACTGCCACCTCTAGTAGATTCCTGCTAAATAACATAGTGTTGGCATACACATTTCCAGAATTTTAATTTATATAATTACTTCATTTTTAAAAACCAGCTGGCTAAAAATATTTATGCTAAATAAGATATCTATTTTCTATGTATCCTACGAAGAAAGATAATTTTATGCAACATATGTACACTATTGTTAATCAATTTATTAGATCTAAGTTAGTAACTGAGAACAAGTGGTTTTAGAAATACTAATGCTATTTTATACACATCAATACAATTTACATCAGAATGTTAACAGCAAACCCTTAGAATGTTGCCTGTTCCATTCAGTTAAATTTAAATTTAATTCTGATATACACAAAATCTGTAAATGCTTAGATATCTAAATTTTTCAAGGTTGTATAATTTCAATGCAATCTTTTTTCGAAAGAACAACTCTGTAGTGTTTTATAAATGTACCCTAAACAGAAGCAAATGGATTTGTTAAAAACAAATACAATGAAATTAGTGAAGGACAAAAAGAATTAAATTATGTCACACAGAAGCTACTCTTGAAAAGAGTATTTTGAGTGGTTCCATGGGACGGCAGCATTCTAAGCATCAGCAGCTACTAAAGCCCCCACCTATCAGTTCAGGGGGGTCGTGAAGTGGCAAGGATACAGTACCTGATGATGGGCAGGTCGAGGCCCCGCTGCGAACTGAGAAAAGGAGGGAAAACAAACACAAAAGGAAAGGCACAAAGAGTCAGAAACACCACAACAAAAACCAAAATGTCACACAATATGTCAAAAGAAAAAACCCACAGGGGGGAAAAAAAACCACACAAAACAGTCAAAGCTTTGCTGCAGGACAGTGACAGACAGGTACTAAGATTGAACAGGTTAACACCACTTTTGTCATTTATCAGCTGGGAGAGAAACAGCTAAGCTTTTAGGCACATAGGATACTCTCTGACAGGAATATATATATATATATATATATATATATATTTTTTTTTTTCTAAGTCCTAAAATAAAGCAAAAGCAAGTTTGAAACACTAAGTGGTTATAAAAGGACAAACATATGAAAATCAAGTATGTTGTATGTAACTAATCTAGCTGGAGAAAATGAGAAATGTTTATACATTGCAAGATCTAGTGAGGATATCACTATAAAATCCAGTAAGAAATAAAGAATGCAACAGGACTAACCACAAATTTTCTTAAGCTAAGGAGGATATCTTATACATAAAATGGAAGTTTCAATATCTTCCTCTATTGCTTAAAGAATAAAATTTTGTGAAAATATATATTTAAGTTTTAATGCAATTAACTAGCAAAGTTTAATAACAAGCATATCAAGTCAAACAGCTAGTAAAGAATATCAGTCTTTAACATGATCAAAGTGATACTCATAGGCTCGAGAAGAAAAAAAAGTCAAACCTCTCAATTACTATCGTAGACAACAGCAAAACACTGTACATGTACACCTACTGTTATCTGATACCGAGAACAAAAGTTAAAGGAAACGTAACTTCAGCTAAATCATACAGTACCTAAAAGTGGTTAACATATACTTCAACTCTTCCCCTAACTGAAAATGAAAGAAAAAGCTTTTTCATCCATGAAATTTTTCACTGCTAATCCACTAAGATCAAATAATTTGGGTTCCAATACATTTGAAATAAAAGGGACAGAGAAAAGTATTGGGAATGTAGAGCCATATACGGGGACTAACATATTCATTACTGTAATGTTATACCCAGTATAATAGTGAAAAGGAATATTGAGAAAGCAGTTTTGAATGCAAACCATACAGGGTTTTTATTTAATATGGGTAAGGTGCTAAAATGTTTATCTTCACTTGCTCTATTTCCTCTATGGAGCCTTCCTTCTGTCAGATTAACACTACAGATGAATTAGACTGAAGGTTAACTAAGAAACATGCTCAAAATTTAAATTACGTACAATTATAATGTACAAGATTTTGAAATTATTTCCCCAAGTTCCCTTATTTCATACATTAAAATTTCAACAAATTGCAGTAGAACACATGGCCACAACATAGGAGAGACTGCTGAGACAGCTCTGTCAAGAATCAACCTTAGAAGTTTAAGTGTAACCTATTGCTCAAGTAATGAAAAGTACCTTAATGACCTATATGCTCAGATTGTTAGGTCAGCCATTATACTTGGCTGATCACCGTAACGGTTATTCAGAATGATAATAAGCAGCAGCTACAGTTCTTGCAGAAAATTTTCTCTTCAAAGACACTGAGGTCGTATATTTTTAGTTTTCCCATTAGGAGAAAGAAACAGATCATACCTCTATACAGACATCAAGTTTCAAGAACAGGTAATACCACTCATGTGGTATATAAGTAAGGGTGGAAATGAGAAGTTTTTTCAATACTTTTGAAGAAAATAGAAGAGAAAGGCCATATTAAAAAATTAACCTGAGTACAGCAGTAACCTGTCTTATCACTGTTCCACAGAAAGGTACCATTTCTAAGGCTCTCAATTTAAAGTCAAAATTTTATACATTTGGAATGTTCCAATCAAAGGAGAATTTTCTGTGAACAAGAGGAGTATCTTTAAAAATTATGTATAAAAACAAAAACAAAAAAGAAAACCACAACTTAAGTTAGTGGGAAAGTGTCCTGGGAAAGTACCCTAGTCTATTTTGCACTAGTCACCATTGGCTATTGAGTTTTTCATGTGAAATGACAATAGTCTTAAGCCTATGGGCAGATGTAAGCAACAGAACAAACTGTAGTCGCTGCTGGCTCTTACTAAAAATAGAAACTTTTCTTTCTTTACTCTTTTCTTTTTAAAAAAGAAAGGTCTTTAAAATGGTAAGGGTTGTAGATATAAAGGAAAGCAGCCTTCTGTGAACTTGAATCCAATGTTAATGCCACCCACCCACTCACTCACTCACTCGCCCTTTCTGTGCACAGTTAGTAACTGAGCATGGCCAACATAATTAATATTGATATATCTTTGGCCCTTAGCATCACAAAATATAAAAATAACCAATGGTTACAGTTACTGCAAAAGCCAAAAACTGTCCCCCTCTCCTAATTAAGCATTCAATAGCTTCACTATTTTAAACAAAATATTCAAAAATAAACAGCTGATTAAAAAGTTCCAGTACAGCAAGAAAATGGAACAGGAAACTTATCCACCTTTATATTTTAAAATATTTATTTCCACATTATGAGTTTAGCTAAGATACTAAATATCAAATGGAAATACAGACATAAAGATAACCTGAAGAAGGGAAGGGAACCATTTGAAGCCAGTAGGATTGCAAAGGCAGCTGTCCAGGGAAGAACAGAAAAGCCTAAACTGTGCAATTGCCAATGGCCTATTAATGCAGAAATAGAATGGAGTAAGCTTTAGCTGCTCTACAAAGCTACAGGAAGAGACCCTTCCTTAGTGTAACACCTTACCTCTCCTCACCAGTTGGGACAGTTGTGAGATGAATGAGACTAGACTATGACAATTTGGGATGTAAACAGAAAATGCAATCCTGCCAAATTGCATAACCCAACTTCACCCTCCCAACACCAACACAAACAAAATAAGGAATATCGAACCCAAAACAAGAAGCAAGAATAGTCTGGGGTCTGCTAGTCTTGCACTTGTTTTGGGGTATGTAATGGAATGTTATGTGTGTTGTTTTTAGTAATGGGGTGGTAATGGTCACTAGCAGAGCAGATGGCAAAAACTGCATAGAGGATAGTTATCTGAAGAGTTTATGACCACAGAAAAATGGCTGACAACTACAGATAATTTTCCCCTTGATATTAAATTATAGAATTGAAAGGGGTAAAAAGAAGCCTTGAAATTTATCTTTTACATTCAAATTTATCTGAAAGAGACAGCTCACTTCAAGTTTAAAATAAAGAAAAATCTACTCCCCAAATTATTCCTGTCTAATTCCCAATAGAGAAGACCACCCAATTTGTTATTCTTTTCCCCATTATGCCTGGCAGAAACTGCCATGCTAGGTTAGACTTTGAGAGAGGAAGCAATCAATGCATTTCTGTTCATCAGCCAATAAATGGATGTGGTCAAAAATAACGAGTGCCAGAGGCACCACTGCCTGCAAGAAGTACAGTTTGTTATATTGCTTACAATGCAGTATTTTATCCAGCCTCTTCCAGTCAAGGACCTGTAAACGGGAGTCTGTTCCAAAACCTTCCTCCTCTTCCAGTTGTCTGTGCAATGTATTGTCACTGTTCTGCTGGGCTGTCAAAAAAACTGGTTTAGAGATGCAGCTCTTCAGTCAGGTTTTGCGCCAGTTCTAACCATGTAAATTTAATTCTTTTTTCCCCAACAGTTAGAAAAGGGTGGGACAGAGGGAGGAGGGGAGAAAGAGGGCCAAAGAATTCTTTGCAATAAGAGCTTACCATAATATTCCATGTTTAATGATTAGAACCTGAGATCTGGTGAGATCTCAGGCCCACTCCAAGTAGTCAAGGGTCCACATCCCCAAACCACTCTCAGAACAAAACTTTCATCAGACATCTTGTTGAACATTTCAGCAAAAAAAAAAAAGAGATAAGCAAATAGGCAACTAGGACCAAAGTCCCATCTCTTAGAATGGTCCCTCCACCCTCTGGGGAGAACCAGAATCTAAGAACAGGTATTGCAGAAAAGGGAAAGAGGGAAAAGGAAGACAGGAAAGGGTAAGAAAGAGATTACATTTTGGTGCAGTCTATGCTCTCCTAGTTCTTTGAGTAAGTCTTTGGCACATTTCAGTAATTCGAAGTTCATGCATATAACCAAATGAATAGGAGCTAATGCAATGAAGTATTTCTACACTCCAGGCAAAAAAGCAGGGATGGGGAAAAAAAGAAGATCCCTGTATTCTAAAGAATACACAAAGCTGAGGTACAAAGAGGGATGTGAGAAACACAATGTGAGATGTTACAGAAGCAACTTCTAGCCAAAGCTAATCATGCAGGGCAGGAAACAACGTTCTAAGGAATGGACAGCTGAAGCCACTGTACATTTTTGTGAAACAGAAGGATGAACCTTGAGTAAATTCTCAGTCTTTGTAGTATTTATTGCAATCCATGTAAAGGGCGAACAAAGAGGATGACAGCATTTATATACTTGTATGACAATTTATTTACCATTGGAGAAAATAAATACATCCACTGGCATATACCATGCATCTATTCACAGTCAAATGATTAGAACTGATCTAGTGACACTGATTAAGAAGTCTTACTTCCTAAGCCATTAGAATCTCAGGCTCTAATTAGTGAAATTCAATTAATTTCTAAAATCATTTTACTTTACTCTTCTCCTAAATTTTGAACAACTACAAAAATTAAGAGCTGAAATGAAGTAAACCTGAATGCAATCAGGAGTAACAAACAAAGAAAAAGCCACAAAAACGTACAAGATAAAAAGCCCTACCTCTTAATACATTTAAGCTATTCCTATAGGTAAGGCCTGAAAATGCAAAACTAGTCAATAATAGCAGTAAAAAATTTTTAAATATATATATATGTATATGTATGTGTATATACACACACACACACACACACACACACACACACACACACACACACACACACACACACGTTTACATAAATAAACTTTGGAACAAATCTCCAAAATCCATTAAAAATATATGCCTAAGGAGCCAAGCTACTATACACACAAATGTAGGTAGAGAACATAATCTAGAACAAGCTTCTGCTTACTTACCGGAGAACGGGTTTGAGGTTGTGAATTCATTGTCTGAGGGGCTTGAGGATATACCAACGTGGTTGGACCTGCATTCTGTCCAGAGGGATAAGGGGTCTGTCAAAGAACACCAAGAAAAATATCATATTTTCAAAAAATATGGCATGGCAATTCAAATTCAAAATGTTCACAAGAAGCTTATAGAAGTGGTTATTATTAATGTGATTTATTTACAGTTCGAATTTTTAAATTTTTTAACAACTTTATCACAATATCCAATAACTCACATCAGTGTAGCTTTAATTTTTTATTTTTAAGCAAATGGGAGGTTCTCACTATGTTGTACAGGCTGGTCTTAAACTCCTAGGCTCCAGTGATCCTTCTGCCTTAGCCTCCCGAGTAGGTGGGACTACAAGCACAAGTCAATGTGCCCGACTAGTACAGCATTTTTAAAAAGTTACTGTACACCTCATGAGAAAACATCATCAGCAACCCAAAGTCTAGGTACAGTCATTTCTAAAATTTTGAGCCACTGAGGCATTTTAGTTTTAAGTATATATTACAACCCAGGGAAAAGAATCCCAGGATTTCTTCCCTTGTGTATTTTCATGTTGTTTCTTCATGATCCATGGTTCCAGTCAGCATTGTCAGTACAATGAAACCAAACTGATGGGATAAGAACAGATTACTCTGCCATTTTTTTCTAAATCTTTGAGTTACACATCAAATTTGGGGACAATCACTCAATACTTATTTGACCTGCCTGTGAAGTTCACGATTTTCCCAGCCTATGATCATCAATGACTTTGATTTTGCCAAAGTAACCATGCTTCATCATCATGGTTAGACACTGGACAATGACTGTTCAGCACGTCCCAATAAAAACCTGGTGCTTGTCTCTCTTTTCTGCATTGCAGCACGAAAGGGTGATAAAAGACTAGGTGTGATTATTTAAAACCATGAGTGCAAGAGGACTTCCTGTCAGTTCATCTGTTTCTAAAATGGACAGCCTGAAACACAAACAAAATCAAGCCTAGCTCAGGAAACCTGCTACTGCTAGGTGTGTTTTCCCTTTAGGAAGACATCTCAGAGTCACAATTATCATCCACACAGTTAACTGTTCTATTACTGCTGTAATCTTGTCAAAGAGTACACCTTAATCTTTTTACATGATCTCATAAAAATAAATGTATCAATAAGAACTTTATATAAAAGCTCAGAATACGTTATAATATGATACATACATGACCTGACAATTAAGTTAGTGAAGCTGCCACCATGTGCTTAAGTTGGCAAAACTACAAACAATTCAGTAAGGTTTCATAACCTTAGTAATATCAGCGTTTCACAGCTATGTTCATATTGACGTGTGGTGGTGTCTTGCTGAGTGGCATTCACTATTGTTACATGTTTTTGTGTGACATTGCATGAATGCTGGAGACTGAATTAGAGCAACAAACATTAAATTTCTTGTTAAACTTGGCAAGAGTGAACGTGAAATCAGCAGCATGTCAGTTCATGGAGATAATGCCATAAAGAAAACAGCAGTGTACAAATGGAGTAAACCTTAATCTTTTTACATGATCCCATTAAAAAAATGTATCAATAAGAACTTTATATAAAAGCTTAGAATAAGTTATAATATGATACATACACGACCTGACAATTAAGTTAGTGAAGCTGCCACCATGTGCTTAAGTTGGCAAAACTGTACAAACAACTCAGTAAGGTTTCATAACCTTAATATATCATCTAAGGGGAAAGAAAGTGTCACTGATGAAGAGAGTTCAGGACAGTAACTGATGAGCAGAACAGATGAAAACATTGCAACAATTCATTGAACTGTGCGTCAAAATTATTGGTTTACTATTAAAAGCACAGCAAACCACATAAACATCAATAGAGAAGCAGGAAAATCTTAACTGAAAATCTTGGCATGAGAAAAGTGTGTAAAAATGGTCCCTAAGGAGCTCTTGTATCACTACAATGCACCAGCTCACATAGCACTGTGTGGAAGTTTTTAGACAGTAAACAAATAATTGTATTAGAGCACCCTCCCTACTCACCTTATCTGGTCCCCAATGATTTTTTTCTTTACTCTAAGATAAAGGAAATATTGAAAGAAAGATATTTTGATGACATTCAGAACATCAAGGGTAATACTGCTCTGATGGCCACTCCAGAAAAAGAGTTCCAAAATTGCTTTGACAAGTGGACTAGGCACAGGCATTAGTGCATAGTTTTCCAAGGGGAATACTTCGAAGGTGACCACAGTGATATTCAGCAATGAGATATGTAGCATTTTTTCTAGGATGAGTTTGCAAACTTAACTGTCAGTCCTCATATATTAGCTTACCATAGGTTTTCTGAAATTATGAACATAAGCTTTTCATTATAAATCCCTGTTAAGTATTATAGACTAATATACTATGCGCTAGTGAATTATAAAAAAAAATACTTGTAACATATTTTAAATTAAATGCTACCAAGAGCAATGGACACAGAATCCCAGGACTTGAATTCAAATCCCAAAAACCACTACTTACTATTGCTGTTACTTTGGACAATTGATTTATCTTTCCTATGAATATAAAAGGAACAATGCACTGGCTTCACAAGGCAGTTTACAAAGATTAAATGAGAAAAAGTAAATTACTGTGCAATAACCTTACTCACCACTATTCCAGTTCTAGTTCTACAAATAAGAAAATCAAGGACCAGAAAATTTAAGTGTCTTACCTAATACAACAAAATTAATAATATAACTAGAAAGTATGTAAACTTTGCCTTAAAAAAAAGTTTATATTATTTTTGGCATCTGTTGACCACTTAATGTTCACCTGGGATCACCAATTTTAAAGCGAATGTTTAAAATAAGTCATCACGGCTTTGAAATAATGAAATCAAAACAAAGTCAACAGCTTCACATTAGACACAGAGGATATAGGGCAATCTTTCTTTTTTCTTTTTTTTTTTTCATTAATCAGTATTTTTTATTATGGTTTTGTGGGGTACAGTTAAGTGTTAGGTGTACAATGACGTTTCATTCAGGCACCCTGTAGATAAGAAGTGTTTTCCCATCCCCCGACAGATATTTGCTCCCGTATATCCCATCCCCCTCCCCCCATAGTTTCCCAGTACCATCAGTCATTTTCTTATAGTATTGCATTGGATGTTCAAGGTCCATTATATGAGTGAGAACATGTGATATTCAGATCTTTGTTTTTGTGAGAGGTCACTCAGTATTATAGACTCTAGTTCCATCCAGGTTGCAGCGAAATTCATGATTTTGTTCTTTTTTATGGCTGCGTAGTATTCCATCGTGTATATGTACCACATTTTTTAATCCAGTCCTCTTTTGGTGGGCAGCATGGTTGTTTCCAGGTTCTTGCTATTGTGAACAACGCTGCGATAAACATACGTGTGCAGGTATCTTTTTTATAGAGTGATTTGTGTTCCTCAGGGTATATTCCCAGTAGGGGGATTGCAGGGTCATATGGGCAATCTTTCAATGGTATCCTATATAGCCATCTCTGTGGCTGATTCTGAGGTTCCACATCAGGATGATTTTCTTTCTTACTTCATTCCACCTAAATCAAATGGCCACATTCAAAAACATGGCAGCAAGTATCTTAGGACTATGAAATAGTGGCTAAGTGGATAAAACATGATCCCGAAAATACTCAAACTTTTCTCACCAAAAACTGCTTTCAGCACTGTTTCAAATATGAAGTTTACATGTATGTACAGCAAACAAACTCTGAAAGGCTGAAAGTTTGACTACTTTAACTTAAGAAACATTGGGGAATGAATTCCTTACCAATTTGTCTACATTCAGATCAGGAAAGTATTTCTTCAAGTTGTATTTATTACAGGAATTGAATGTAGTTTTAAAATACAGCACTGATTTCATTCTTCATTAAATTAATAAAAACCATCAGGTGTTCAGAAAGGTATTTCTCATTAATATCTCAGAATATATTTTGATACTTTATTCTCAACTTTTAAGCTCTTGGTATTTTCAAACAAGCTTCTAGCTCTCAAGATACTAAAAATAACACTGAAATACCCCAATTAAAAAATGTAAACATAATTTTTCTATATTTCAAAGAGTTAGGTTGGCACTTTGTTCTCTCTTAGATGCTGTACCATAGAAAGAACTGGAACAAGACAAGGAAGCCCACTGTCATCACTCCTATTTAACACAGTGCTACATGGAAATCCTAGCCAGAGCAATAAGGCAAGAGAAAAAAATTAAAGTATTCAAACAGGAAAAGAGAAAGTTAGATTATCACTCTTTGCAGATGATATGATTCTACATCTAGAATATGCTAAAGATTCCACCAAAAGACTCCTAGCACTCTTACATGACTTCAGCAAAGTTTGGAGACACAAATATCAGTGCTCAGAAATCAGTTACATTTCTATAGACCAACAATGTTCAGGCTGAGAATCAAATCAAGAACACAATCTCATTTACAATAGCCAGAAAAAATAAAATAAAATACCTCAGAACACATCTAAGCAAACAGGGGAAGAGCTCTGTTGAGAACTATAAAACACTGCTAAAAGAAATAAAAGGTGACTCCAAACAAGCAGAAAAACATTAGAATCAATATTGTTAAAATGCCTATACTTTCTAAAGCAATCTACAGATTCAACGCAATCCCTATCAAATTAGCAGCAGCATTCTTACACATCTAGAAAAAACAATACTTAAATTCATATGAAAGCAAAAAGGGCCCAGATAGCCAAAGCAATCCTAAGCAAAGAGAACAAAGCGAGACACATCACAATGCCAGGCTTCCAACTTTACTGAAAGGCTACAGTAACTGAAACAGGATGGTACTGGAACAAAAATAGACTCACAGACCAATGAAACAACTGAGAACTCAAAAATAAAATCACTGTCTTACAACCATTTCATTTCATCTTTGACAAAGTCAGCAAAAATCAAACACGGGGGAACAGACCCTATTTGACAAACGGTGCTGGAAAAATTGGCTAACCATATGCAGAAGAATGAAGCTGGACCTATTACTCTCACCATATCCAAAAATGAACTCAAGATGGATTAATGACTTAAACGTAAGGCCTCAAACTATGAAAATCCTAGA